TCAACTATATAGCTTCTCCCAGTATGTCTGCCACATATTTCGGGTGTGCTTGTTTTATGTTTGAACTCCCTTTATAACTCTCTTATAACAAACCAGACAGGATTCCGTAAACATTACAGAACCTCTGACAATATCTTTCTTTTAAAGACCCTAATCTCTAAACATACCCAACCAGGAAAAAGCTCTTTGCCTGCTTTGTAGATTTATCAAAGGCATTTGACTCTATCTGGCACGAGGGTCTACTTTTCAAACTCTTATCAGCAGGTATATCAGGAAGATTTTTCGACGTTTTAAAAAACCTATATAACCAATCCACAGCCAGCGTCAAGACGAGTAAAGGTCTCAGCGAGAGTTTCCCAGTAGAAATTGGAGTAAGACAAGGCTGTGTCTTAAGCCCTTCTCTATTTAACTTATATATGAGTGATTTAGCCAACCAACTAACTACAGATTCTGAAAAGTTTGATGCCCCCATATTGAACACAAACAAATTATCTAGCCTTTTCTACGCAGACGACCTTGTGCTGTTATCGACAAGCGAACATGGCCTACAAAAATCAATAAACAATCTAAACCAGTACTGCAAAAAAATGGAAATTATCAATTAATATAAACAAAACAAAAATAACTAGAAAGGCCAATATTTGCTTTGGAGCAAATATAGCGATGGGTTCACCACATTTACGACATGGCAGGGAAAGAATGAGAAACACTAGAAAGGCCAACATTTGCTTCGGAGCAAATGTAGGAATTTCACTCCATACCCTTCCCCAAACAAAAATGAGAGATTCTAAATAAATCATACTGCAATTATACAAGGACAAGCTGTTTGAATCTCGACAGGTATTTACAAAACTGGCACTTGGCAATTATCTCCCTTTTTTTTACAAAGATACAACGACACGCACTTTAAATCTCGACAGCTTTACTTTACACTTTTGACGAGATTGTAACTACTACTAACGGAAGCAAAATTTTCACGGCCTGAGAAAAATGGACATGTTCAC